GTTCCACAGGGGGGAAGGGGGGAAACATATGGCCGCAGGATAAGGAAGGATGTCCCGTTCCACACAAGGGAGGGGGAGGCAAAAATCGTTATGCCTAAATAAAATTGAAATGAAACTGAACCAGGGGGAGGAGGGGGGGGGCCGCCGGGGCGCAACCATGTATGGGTATGTGCCCCTTTGCGCATTGACCATCTACCCACTTGCCTGCATATCTAACTGGTCAATCTGTATTTATGTATGTATATTATATCATATATATATATATACATACATATCTTTTTTATGTATCTATTTAATATTTAATTTATTTACTTATTTACTGATGTATGTACGCATGCATGTATGCATGTATCTGTGCATGTAGGCAGGCAGCTAGGTAGGTGGGTAGGTGGGTATGTAGGCATGTATGTAGGTATGTATGATTATGTATGATTATGTATGATTATGTAGGTAGGTAGGGTAGGGTAGGGTAGGGTAGGGTAGGGTAGGGTAGGGTAGGGTAGGGTAGGGTAGGGTAGGGTAGGGTAGGGTAGGTGGGTCGGTGGGTGGGTGGGTGGGTGGGTGGGTGGGTGGGTGGGCATGTATGTATGAAGCTGAGCCTCGGGCCGGCAATCTCCAGGGGCACCGCCCGCAGAGTGAGCTTGGCACTACCCGGCGTGAGCTGAGGCGGGGCCCTGAAAAGAGCAGGTAAGGTTTTGAAGTGTAGTGTGGGGGTTCAAAGGTCTCAGGGTTGTGGTGCTTCTTGGGCTTCTGGATAAAAGCGAGAAACGCTCTACGTCAAACACTAAACCGAAACCCTCACAAGAAGCTGCCCACATCAAAGGCGAATAGAGGTCTCCGTATCGGATGGTGGAATGTAGACCAATCGCGGTTCATTGAAGAGTTCGGTGTGTCATGGGGGATGGGTGACCATACAGCTGCTTCCTGTGCCTTGCTCTAATTAAGACAAAGCAGGGTAGGCACATGGGGGGTGGCATGCTTGTTTTTGTGTACATTTGCCACTGAACTTACATTTTATGCTGACATTTCTGTGAGTTCAAGGCTAGTTTGCGGTGTAGCGAAATGCCAAGGACTCATGCCTCCTGCTCCGAAATGCTGAGGCCCTGGCACTGAGTTGAGGCTAGAGGTACTGCGAGTCTGGCACCCGGGTATCGCCCTGCACATGGGCCCCGAGCTCTCCGCCAGCTCCGAACCAGAAAGAAACACAAAGCAGCCCTGGTGAAGCTCATTTTGAATGTAAATATGCTCGTCGCATTGCAGTCAGCTGACTCTCGCTTTGGGCAGCATGGTGAGCTTGCTATTCCACAACCCATTCCAACGCTAGAGAAAACCGGCTTGAAAATGTATATGATACGCTATACCATAACAGAATTCTACTATCATAGACTATAATGAACAGAATATACCACCAGAGACTATAATCTACTGTACCCCGCAAACTACCCACAAGTCCAGACTCAACGTCCAGATTCGCCCGAAGCCCAAGCGCTCGAAGCCGGTGTCTGACAGTTAGAAGCCCAAACCTCTAAAGGGCCCTTTTGGGGTTAAAAGGGCATGAACTCGTCTTCTCAACGTCGAAGTTTCTGGGCAGCCCTGCGGGCACAAGGCAGCTCGAGATGGAGAGCAGAGGAGGTCAGCCTGTCTTTCCATGGCAAAGGGGCGTGGCATATTTCCGGGGGCTCGGCGCTTGCAGCTATAAGGGCAGAAGAAGCTTTGGGGCTTGGGGGGGCTTGGGGCCTGGGGGGTTTCTTGCACCTTTGAGCTTTGGGAGGCTTTGGTTCAGGGAACTTCGGCCCCAACTACGGCAGAGGTGGAGATTTATGGAACCTATGACACACTTTACAGAGGGTTCTTTGGGCTAGGAGTCTGTAGTCACTTGGGCTTGTAGAGTTGCGGAAGCACTACGCGCGCCTCCAGGACAAGGTGTCCAAGAACCCTTGAGAATTCTTGTTGTCTTTATCACGAAACTGCCATTGAGCCTGTCAGCAGTATGCCTTCTTCACTTTTCCACAGCACGAGAACCGCCGAAACAGCATCGGGCACAGCACGGGGCGTGGCGGGCCCCAAGCAAACAAAAGAAGCCCCGAAGCTGTCAAGTTCTCACAGAGCTCAAAGGTAAACCAGCTGCGCACCTCGATTCCGGGCAGAACCGCAGGCCTTAGGCGCAGGGTCCGGAGTGGGCTTGGGCTTTGCATGCGTACAGAAAGGACATCTGAGTGAAAAACGGAATGCAAAGAACAGCGCAGAACACCATGCAGCTGACCAGAAGCACCCAAATTCCACCTTCACGCGGTACAACACACCACTAGCAACACAGCAGAACATTGTGTAAAACGATTGAAGGCCTGTAGTGCATAAGATAGTCTATCAGTAGTTGTGCCTGGTGTCAAAGCTGCTATCGTCGTTGCTCTGGTCTTTTGTTGTTGCTACCTTTGCCATAATTCGGGTATTTGAGCAATAGCAGGACAATACTTGGGCCTGGGCCGAAAATCCGATGCACTGCTGGTGCGGGATGCTCGGCGACAGCTGCCCGCCTACGAATCTTGCTGTTCCACCGAGGGCTTCTGTAACGCTTCCGGTGTTTTTGAGGTCGGGTTCTGTTGGCTGTCATCCATGCTATCCTTTTGAGAGTCGTACTTCTACGGAAGTCACAAAGATGGCTCCACGAACAGCGGGAACAAGTCTTTATAGGTTGGGGTTTGGGACTATGTAGGAGTTTAGGGTCTTGATGCCCCCCCCACCCCGCCCCGCATGGATTGCCTCGCCTGACGGACGGATGTAGAGCTTTCGGAAGTTGCACTGCTGTGAATAATGTGGTCAGGCAAGTGGCTTTGCAAATGCCATGCTTGTGGGAGGCGATCGGAGCCTACGGACTGTGGAGTTTGTGGCAGCTGGCTGTGGGAGACGCGCTGGAAGCGCCCGGACTGGATGTGGGACGACATCTGGTGTGGAGGAGGCGCAAAGAAGCGCATGTCCATATCGCGATGGGATCGGGCACTCTGCGGAGTCTTCGAAGGGTACGCACAGGTTCCTCCGCTGGCCGAAAGCGTGCTTGTCTTCAGCCTCAATCTGCGCGGCTACATGTTCACCAATTGCTCCAATCGTGTGTACAGACATGCCAGGCCCCGAACGGTGAAAACTTCGCGGTGATCTCATCGATATTGTCTTGCAAGCTGCGCCTGAGATGAGATTCAATGAAGCTCAGCTCGCAGCTAAGCTCTGCTTGAACAGTCGCTCCACCTCTACAAGACGACGACTTAAAGGCGCTTCGGTCACTCGGACATGTAACGCATGCGAACCGTGCGCAGAACAGAACAGAAGCAGCAGGCGATTTGATGTCAGGGCCAGGAAACGAAAGTGATTAAGCAGAGGCATCGCTCCTCTCAACGCCTCCCGGAAACCCCCAAAGTCCCCCCAAAACCTTTGGAAACCCCCAATGAGAGAGCCCTCGAGCCCAAAATTCGACCAAGCCCTAAGCTCCACTGAGGCGACGGCAGCTGCTGCCTCAGCTTGTTCCAAATCTCCTCGTCCATGGCCTTTAGGGTTTAGGCTTTGAGTTGAGGGTCGCGGGCAAGACTGTCGGAGTGCTCTCCAGGCTATCAGTGGCGAATAGCTTTAGCAATAAACAGATTGTAGGAGGATGCGTAGATGGCTTCCTGAAAGAATTTCAATCTGATTAGAGCGGAGCTTTTCGATGTTTGAAGTCACAGGGAACTACTCCACCGAATTTCCGGGGTGTTCTGACTCCCTTCGTCAAAGCGAACCCAACATCCCCTCCGGCTGAGGCCAAGACGTGGGAAAGACTCTCCACAGTGTTTGGGGTAGGAAGGCCACTGGGCCGGTATCCAGCACCTGCTTTCGGATCCCTTTTGAAAGGCCTCTTCTACAGTTGTGCTTGGGACTCTCCCAGACATGCTCTTAGAGCTCCATGTGGCGCCTGTGAGGGTCCTGAATCGCCTTCGAAAATCTGAAGAAGTTGCCAGAAAGGAACTGACTTCGACACACACTCATACCTGCCGCTTGAGGTTTCGGTCTTTAGACCGGTTCCGGGCTTGAGAGTTCGATTCAGGCTTCAGCATCTGCCAGTGTGTCGGGCTTGCCTAACGAGTTTTAACGTCTGGCTTGGCTAGAGTTCGAGCCAGGGTCGTCACACACACACACACACAGAGACAGATATGCTCCCGAAAAGGAGCTTGAGGTTCGAACTTAACCTGTTGCGCACCATGTTGCACCTCAAGCCCAATCCCTGACCCGCTAGATGCTGAAAATGCAAGTGGTTGCCATTTTCGTCCAGCCACGCCAGGCCATGTGTCAATGGCTACTGTCCGCAATCTGCCTGAAGGACCCTCCGACCCCAAACAGACCCCAGCCGCCCCCCTAAACCCTAGACCTTCAACCCCAATAAGGGATCCCTACTGGATGCTCTCCAGACGTGCGAGTAAACCGCAGGTTGATTTTGGCGCGGCAGCTTCCCAGGTGAACCCGCAGAACGTCAAATTCGCAACCCTGACCTACCCCCGACACCTCAAAAATCCGCACAGCTGAACTTCTTCATTGAACCGAGAAAAAGCCTACACCTACACTGACCCACACACTAACCTAAACTGAAAGCGCGCAAACCGAGAACTAGGCTTCTTGCACCCCTAAAACTCTAACCTCGAGCCCCCTACTGGCCTACCCCTACACGAACCCCTAGGCATGGTCCAGACACCGCAACCCTCAACCCCTAAACCCTGAAAGAAACCCTAAACCCTAAACCCCCAAATAAAAAAAACCTAAACCCTAAAATAAACCCTAAACCCTAAAATAAACCCCAAACCCTAAACCTTGTCGAAACCCAAAAAAGAAGCCTTAAAGGACCCATAGGCAGCAGACACCTCGGAGAGCCCCCCTAGCAACATTATAGAAGCCGTGTTGAACCCGTGAAGAACCCTCGTACAAGCGTTATAGAACCCAAAACCCTGAACCCAAAACCCTGAACCCTACACCCTAAACCCTGAACCCTGGACCTGAACCCTAAACCCTAAAGCCTTAAAAAAACCTCATAGAACCCCTCGAACCCTCAGCTAAGTCCCTCTCTCTCGGACCTGAGGTCTCGCTTGGCGAGTCCTCGACTTGACTTTCCTGTCAAAAGGGTTGGAATACGGCTGATGATATAAATCCTGCATTACCCATAATAATGAATATACCATAATTCCCATAGTTTAGGGTCCTTAAGGTAATGCAAGATTTATACCATCAAGAGTAGGGGCATTAATAATAAGTAGAATAGAGTTCCTTATGGGCCCCGTAAGGGGGCCTACCAGGATTGCTATCAGATATCAGGATTGGAAATATAGGGGGGGGGGGGGAGGGGTTCTCTAAATTAGGGTCCCTTTCTTGCCCCCAAAATGGTACGGTACCCTGATTAGCAGAACTACACATATAAAGGTCTTAAGCAATAGCATAGGGTTCCTTGTGGTGGTCTCTAAGACCGGGTTCCTTTCAGGGGTCCTACAAGGGCGACTGTAAGGACTCTAAACCAAAAAAGAGGCCCTGAATAACCCTAAACCCTAAATCCTAACCCTAAACCGTAAACCCTAAACCCTAAAGTGGCATAGGGCTTTTGTCTGGGGACGATAAAAGGGAACTCATGGGGCTCTGGGGGTCTCAGGGTTCGGGGACTTCTCGGCCTCGGGGTTTGGGGATTTGGGTTTAAGGGTTTAGGGGTGTAGGGTTTTGGGATTTGGGGTTTGAGGGTTTAAGGGTTTTGGGATTTGGGTTTAAGGGTTTAGGGTTTTGGGATTTGGGATTTGGCTTTAAGGGTTTAGGGGTTAGGGTTTTAAGCCAGCTATTTCGGGCACCGAGTTGGAGGTTCAAGGCTTGCTTTCGGGGGAGGCCGCACAGTTTCAAAGAGGGTCCTGGGGCACCTTACACTGCAACTTTAGAGAGACTGGAGGATTACCTGCTACTGCTGGTTCATACCCCTAAATCCCCAGTTGTTGTTTGGTTTGGGGCTGGGACATACTTTCTCAGCGACGTGCACTACGATTCTGACAGGCAATGGAGATTGTGGCGGTTGAAGGCATTCATAATTGGGGATTAAGGTCGGGGTGTATAGTTCTATGAGAGGATACTCTTCCTGTCCCTGCTCCTAGCCCGACGGTATATTTGAGCTTCATTCACTGGACCCTCTCTCGGCCAAGGATCTGCTGAAGTCGTCGCTGTTTGTTCCATCGCCTCTACCTGCACAGGACGCAGGGCATGGTATCACTGACTGTTCAGGGTTGTCGCGTTGGGGAACGCTGGGGCATCCCCCGCCGCCAGCCGATCAAACAGTAACCCTCTAGCATCCTGTATAGTACCGCGCATATTCCCCCATACAGTTTCCATGTTTGCACCCCTTCGAGTGAACTTTGTAGGAATATATGAAACCGATGAAGCCACATCTTTATCGCTGTAGTTACGACTGAAGCTTCCCCAAACAGCTCAGCTTCGCCGACTGATACTAAAGACACGTGAAACATTAGGGTGGAAGGTTGTTTGGTGTGTAGGGTTCGCGAGAGACCTTCCCCGATGAAGCAACACCACTAATTATTATTGTTCCTCTTCTTTTGCTGTTGCCCATCAAGAGTCCTGGCACAGCACTCCGAACCTCAGGCAGGAGCGGCACTTTCTCCCGCAGATCCTCCTTGCAGATGCTTCGGGGCTAACTGAGAACCTCTCGTTTGGTGTCCTAGGCTGCGTTCCATGTGGGGTGCCCCTGCATTTGCAATACAGTAGCAAAGCCGAATCAAAGCCCCCTAAAATTCCTATGTTGCCACTTCCACACAGCCCATTGCCACCAGCTCTTACGTTCGTATCCTTGGTCTACAGCAGCACTTCTACAGCTGAAGGCGTCATGCAATGCTGCGACATGATGCCCCCACTTGCCTTCAAACCCTGGAGCATGGAAGCAAGCTCTGCCTCAATGGCGCCTGGCAAAGAGATATTCAGAGGCTCAGGGGCTCAGAGGCTCAGAGGCTCAGAGGTTCAAGGAACTCGTTCAGAGGTCTGACTGGGGGCAACACGAGGCGAAGCCCTGCTTTGGCATACCCAAACTACAAGTATTCGTAATCAGGGTTTAGGATTCGTAGGCCCACCTGACTCCCCTTCCACAGCCATTCGATAGGCATTGCCTGGGCGGGGGTGGCGGCGGGTGTAGGAGCACCCGGTGCTTGCAGACTTTGCCGGCTCCTTCTGAGGGCCGGTGCCATCCATGCCTTTGAGGTATGCCAGATGCTGCTGATATCGCTGCTGCTGATCATCTGTCGGCCTCGCCAGCGAGTTGGGATCGGCCTAGCTACTCGAATTTTAAGTCGTGGGACCGAAGAAGCCATGGCCTGAGAAGGGGAACCTCTACGAACCTCTTCTGCTGAAATAAATTGAGGAAGCGGAACGTGTAGCATAACACGCTGTCTTCCAGTACAAGTTTACCTCAGGACAATGCAAGCCAAGATTGGACGGGACAGGCCTTTTGATCTTGCCGACGTGCTCGGGGGACAGATTGGTCCGCTTGGGCCTCGGGACTCAGGAAGCAGCAGCAGCAGTCGTCGTCCGACTGAGAACCGAACTCTGACTTCGTCGGCGGCGCAGTGTCCGTGACTTCTGGTTCAGCCGAAGCCCTGCAGTGCAAACTTGAGATCAGTCTGGCTGGCAGAGGTCCACGGCTCGGGTTCTGGTTGCAGTGAAGAGTTCAGGGTTAGGATCACGAACTTGATAAAATGCTTTCTGGGGCTTGGACACAGCTCTTTTCTGCCCCGTAGGCGACGACCTCGAACGTGTCAACAGCTCGAGGGACATGATCAGGCCAAACTCATTTTGCAACTGCTTTCGCAACACCCAACTAGGCAACTCTCTACTCAGAGGATCGGGGGACTTTGGTAAATCGGGCTGTATTGTATAGGTTTGGCAAAGGAGTTTCAACTCCAATGAAGGTACCTAGAACCTCACTTAGCCATGAACCTTAGCCCCCTGGGCGCGCGGGCACCGGCGTCGGCTTTCGGCTGGATTTTCGGCTCGACCCTCGTGAAGCTGGAAGCCTTGCAATCCGTCAGAACTCAGGTATAGGGTTTAGGGCGTAGGGTTTAGGGGTTTAGGGGCTTGGGTGCTTAGGGTTTGGGTGTTTAGGGTTTGGACTTTAGGGTTTGTTGGGATCGCACAGGGCTTAAGCCTTGCCATGCCCTCGTTGGTGCCATCCCTGCTGCCTCAAGGTATAGCAGGAGGGGGTCGATGTCCTAGATCCTAGGATACTAGACCCGATCCCCTCTATAAACAATAAACAGTACTCGAATTCAAGCCAGCGTTTCATTCGGGATCGTGTGGAAAAAAAGGCCCCCAACAAGAGCGACTGTTCACAAGAACCCGAAACTCCAGCCGGGTAGAAGTGATGGCCCAAATACCCTCAAGGGGCGAGCACTGTCCGGGCACCCGGCGGCTCTGGCACTTGGCCGGGCACCGCTGCCGGAGACCTCGTTTCCGTTGACAGAAATTACCTGGGGCCTGCATTTCTGAACACGTAGCTGTCTTAACTTAAAAGTTCAGGGTTTAGGGCTTTGGGGTGTAGGGTTTAGGGGCTTTGGAACTTTTCAACAAGGTTCTACGAGAGCCTGGTTTCAGGAAACTCACTTATCGAGACAAGGCGTTTACAGAGCAGATCATACTCCATGATGTACTGGTGTGCAAAAATCACAAAATACTACGATGTGGCACAGCTTGCGATGGTTGGTAAAATCTGGTAGAGTTTCATGTCATAGACACGAACAGAGTAGAACAGACTAGAAGATAGCAAGCAGTGCAATGTCACATGGTCCAATAGTCCGCTCCTTGAAAACTCCGGCATGCCACTGTGGCTGGAAGATTCGACAGCGGCAAGGAAAAATGCAAGACGGGTACCATGAACGAGAAACATATACTATGTGTTTGCACATGTATACATGTCTACATCTACATCTACATATACATCTANNTACATATACATATACATATACAAAAGACATATACATATACATATACATATACATATACATATACATATACATATACATATACACATACATACATATACATATACATATACATATGCGTATGTGTATACATATACACACATGTACATATACGTATGTATATACATATATACATATATACATATATACATATATACATATATGCATATATACATATTTACATATATACATATATACGTATATACATATATACATATATACATATATACATATATACATATATACATGTATATATACA